AAAATTTTCTGAGATATCCTTTGACAGCATTGATATATATATATATATGCCTAGCCTAACTGTAGCCAAAATTTTATAGACATTGAAAAATCAGGAAGGTCTCATGCCATCTAAGCAGTTTCCAGTGGTCAATGCAATAAATTATGAATATCAAACTGTCACTGTGAGCCAATCTAATTAAAATATAGATCTCTGATTTCCTTACGCTTATTATAGACAAGCACACGAGTCCCGATAGATCGAAATTCTTATCAGATTAACGTTGAGCCCTCCGTACATATTGAAGAAAAAAATTTCCACAAATTCCTCTTAATGGTATCTGTATTTACTAAATAACTTACTTTTTTTAAGCGGTCACCGGTAGTCTTTTACAATATATTTTTAAATATGAAAGCGCTTTGAAAATATCCATTATGGTTTTCCATCGTTATATATGCTTTAAACGTGGTGTTTTCATCTATAAAATTTAGGCGTTTTCATGTAATAAAATAATATTAGATATATTTCTATCGTTTGTTTTCTTCATATCTACTTTTTTAACATGGTTATCATTTTAAGAATTCTTTAAAATATCCAGTTTTCATTATGTTTGAATGAGAATTTTTGAATATCGAACCGGCTGCTGGCGTCCGGTTGGATATTGAATACCGAATAACGAATAACGAACCGGTCGCTAGCTCCACATACATTTTTAAAAGACAGCATGTTATATATGTATATACCTTATTCATACAACAGTAAGTGGTTCGCTGTGGTTTTTAGAGATAGTAAATACATTTATCTACTTATTGCACAAGGTAATGTTTTTCTCTGACTGTAAATGACGTCTTTAAAACTAAATCCATTGGATGTTGGATGTGTACTGATTGATATTTAAGTCTTAGATACATGATTTTTTTTATTAGCTGTTATTGGCTTTGAACTAGCTGTCAGTAACTGCGAGTACTCTCAGATCTGTACTTAGTGTCTTTTTTGTTGTTATGGATGAGGGATGGATAAATACCCTGCCACGTCCGGTTTGTGTTTTGTTTGATGTTTTTCTGCTTTGTATCGATCTGATGAGTTAAACCTTTTTCAACTGATTTTTATTTTTGCTCTTATGTTGTGCTGTTACACCACTGTCCCAGGTTAGGAGAGGGTTGAGCGCTCACAAACATGTTTAACCCTGCCACATTCTTTAAGTGCCTGTCTCAAGTCAGGAGCCTGTTTGACAGTGGTTGTCGTTGGTTCATGGCTGTCATATTTGTTTTTTGTCAATTGTTTTGTTATAATTTAGGCCTTTAGTTTCCTCAATTGAATGGTTTCATATTTTTCATGTCTGGGCCTTTTATAGCCGACCATACGGTGTGGGTTTTTCTCATTGTTGAAGGCCGTACGGTTGCCTATAATTGCTTTCATCCACTTCATTTAAACTTTGGTGGATAGTTGTCTCATTGGCAATCATACCACATCTCCTTATTTTATATATTAGGTACTTTACAAACTGCCTCATCTCATATGTTTCTGTTTTTCTCCAAGTCCTCTCCATTTGTTACCATGCTATATGTATTTATAATTGGTTTTAACCAAAATAAAAAAAGAAAGTATTTGATTTGCTTTCAATCTTTTAATCTAGCACTCCGTTGCAATGAAAGAATTCCGTCTGGTTTAGCATCATTTGTATTAATATAAAGATTTTAACACTTTTTTCCTCACATTTCTTTAAAGTTTTAAACCTCTTACTGGGAAAACAAAAAACAAAAAACGTTAAAAACATCATACTTCTTAGATCTACTTAAAGTCTCCCCTCCTCCCCGATACAACGACATTGCAACACATCAATCTATATTAACTGTAGTTGATATATATATGTAATGCTCTCTATTTCTCTTTTAATACCGGAAGTACACACTAATCTCTGATACTGATAGCTTATATACAGCATAAATTATATATGTAATTGCAGTTGGCTTTGGATATTCTTAAAGAGGTCAGTTAAATATTTTATAAATTTTAATTAGTGTAAAAAAAGTAAAAAAGATGCGTATACAAACACACTTTTATAATAATGAATTTCATGTGCATCTGCAATGTTTTAATTACACTTATATATCGATTTTTTTTTTAATTTCAACGAGCACAAAGCGTTCTGTAAGAGTTGTAAAAAAATGCACTATATTCGATTTAGAATTCAACTATTCATCAAATCCATTGAAGAGAGGGCGGAAGGAAGAGGCGGACACCATAGAGCTCGAAATATTTGGTATACTGGGAGTGAAGGAAGCAGTACCCATATTTCAAAAGAGTTTGTACTCTTGTACTGTTACTCCAAAATCTTTTCTTTTTAATTTATTGAGTTTGACTTTCATACTGTATGGCTGCTGTGAAAAGTACCCCCGTGTTTGTATTCACTTTGCCGATGTTGACAGTTAGTTTACGAGATATACATGTATTATGAAGGGTGTATACTGCTGCTTAATTCTTATTTAAAGCAAACTAGCGGTTAAAATTTACATAGTCCATCTGTTTTATTAAGAATCCTTCTTTATTATACAGTGTAGCACATAGAAAAAATAATTTGCAAAAAAATGTTTCACCTTTTGCTTTCCCTTTTGATTACTACAGGTATTTAAGTTGTTCAGCTTGCCATTCGATTTATTTATAGATAGCGGCCTTATTTATTAGGGCATTATCGAACATATATACCTTTTATACATCTGTAAAAATAAAATGCTTATCTGAGGGGTTTTCTTCGGAATGGTGATAATGTAATGTAATGTGGCTTTATGCTTCGCCCCAAACTCCAGCAAACCTATCTCACCATTTCTGAAAAACGATAAAATTGCAAAGGGCTATTGTCCAACCAACTCTGTCATCTAAAGTTACATATTATGATTATATAAACATGTTTATTATCACTGAACTAGTATATATATTTGTTTAGGGGCCAGCTGAAGGACGCCTCCGGGTGCGGGAATTTCTCGCTGCATTAAAGACCTGTTGGTGACCTTCTGCTGTTGTCTGTTCTATGGTCGGGTTGTTGTCTCTTTGACACATTCCCCATTTCCATTCTCAATTTTATTGTCTTAGATACATTATTTTTTTTACTAGTTGTTATTGGCTTTGAACTAGCTGTCAGTAACTGCGAGTACTCTCAGATCTGTACTTAGTGTCTTTTTCTTGTGGGGATGTATAAGTACCCTGCCACGTCCCCTTTATGTTTCTGTTAGATGTATTTCTGTTTAGTATCTATCTGATGAGTTACGCCCTTTTCAACTGATTTTTATACGCCCATCAAAATTTTGACGGGACGTATTATGGTATACAAATGTCGTCTGTCCGTCTGTCCGTCTATCCGTCTGTCCTTCTGTCTGTCCGGCGTAAACATGTCGCACCGTAACTTGAGAACGACTTATCCAAATTTCATGAAACTTAACATAGTTGTTTCTTATGATGATCAAACGATCTGTATACTTTTTGTTGAAAAAAAGATTAAAACTTTTTGAGTTACGGGACTTAGTAACTAAAACAGGTGTGGTTTTTTTTTCACATGTCGCGCCATATCTCAAAAACAATTTATGGTTATTGCTAAAACTTTACACACTTTTTAGTTATATTAATCTTAAGATCTGTATACTTTTTGGTGATGATTCAAAATTTTATTTTAGAGATATTGAGTATTTTGTTAAAAAAGGGGGAGGGGTTTTTTACATGTCGCGCCGTATCTCAAAAACAGTTTATGATTATTGCTTAAAACTTTACACACTTCTTAGTTATATTAATCTTAAGATTTGTATACTTTTTGGTGATGATTCAAAATTTTATTTTTGAGTTATTGAGTATTTTGTAAAAAAAAAAAAGGGGGAGGGGTTTTTCACATGTCGCGCCGTATCCCAAAAACGATTTATGATTATTGCTTAAAATTTTACACACTTCTTAGTTATATTAATCTAAAGATCTGTATACTTTTTGGTTTTGATTCAAAATTTTATTTTTGAGATATTAATTTTTTTTTTAAAAAGGGGTTTTTCACATGTCGCGCCGTATCTCAAAAACGATTCATGATTATTGCTTAAAATTTTACACACTTCTTCGTTATATTAATCTAAAGATCTGTATACTTTTTGGTTTTGATTCAAAATTTTATTTTAGAGATATTGAGTTTTTTGTAAAAAAAAAAAGAGGGGGGGTTCGCATGTCAGGCCGTATGTCAGAAACTATTTGTGACTATTGCATAAAAATTCACACACAAGACGACGGACGTATCATGCGCTCGTGGCGCAGCTGTTTATTATAGTTTGTTCTTGTATTGTACTGTTACACCACTGTCTCAGGTTAGGGGGAGGATTGGTGCCTTCAAACTAGTTTAATCCCGCCACATTCTGTTTGCGCCTGTCCTAAGTCAGGAGCATGTAGTTGAGAGGTGGATGTTGTTTGTTGCTGTTTGTCAAATTTGTTTTTCGTTTATTGTTTTGTATAGTGTGTTCTTGTGTTGTGCTGTTGCACCACTGTTCCAGGTTAGGCGGCGGGTTTGGCGCCATCTTACTAGTTTAACCCCGCCATATTCTGTATGTGCATCTCCCAAATCAGGAGCCTGTAATTTTGTTACTGCATGTCATATATATTTGTTTTTCGTTCATTATTTTGTACATATATCAGATCAGGCCGTTAGTTTTCTCGTTTGAATTGTTTAACATTTATCATTCCGGGGCCTTTTATAGCTGACTATGTGGTATGGGTTTTACTCATTGTTGAAGGCCTTATTGTGACCTATAGTTGTTAATTTCTGTGTCATTTGGTCTCTTGTGGAGAGTTGTCTCATTGTCACATCTTCTAATTTTTATGTTGTGAAATCCATTTCATTTAAATACAAATATAATTTGCAAAAACGCCAGGTGATTTAAAATTGATGAAGCTATTCGGAAGTTTTAGTTTAAATGATGTCAACCATAGAAATGTGTATTTTATTGTTTCGTTACAATACATTTAAAGTACAATGATATTGAAAAAAAGTAATTCAAAACCTCAACTTTTGTAGGGTAAATCGTTATATTGAATTTCATGCTAACGTTTAACGTAAACAAAAATTGAAGCCATGGCAGACACAGAACCAAAGGTATGTGTTTTAATCTATATATTGGCATATATCAGTATTACACATGCGTCATCGGGACGATTTCGAACTTGGAATGTTGTATAGACACATGTCTCTTTCCCTCAAGATGTGCTATATATTTTTTTATCGATGCGTAGTTGTTTCATTGACGTATACTCCCATCTCGTTTTTATTTACAATCATTACGCTCTGAATACCGTGGATATACTATTATCATGATAAGTTTTAGTACTTTCGACCGATGAATGTGCAGACAAACAGTATAGTATATAATACTGTAATACTGACTAGTTTTGGTACTTTCGACCCATTGATGTGCAGACAATCAGTAGTACATATTATAATCATGATAAGTTTTGGTACTTTCGACACATGAATATGCAGACTTACAGTGGTATATACTATATATAACCATGATAAGTTTTGGTACTTTCGACACATGAATATGCAGACTTACAGTGGTATATACTATATATAACCATGATAAGTTTTGGTACTTTCGACACATGAATATGCAGACTTACAGTGGTATATACTATATATAACCATGATAAGTTTTGGTACTTTCGACACATGAATATGCAGACTTACAGTGGTATATACTATATATAACCATGATAAGTTTTGGTACTTTCGACACATGAATATGCAGACTTACAGTGGTATATACTATATATAACCATGATAAGTTTTGGTACTTTCGACACATGAATATGCAGACTTACAGTGGTATATACTATAAATAACCATGATTAGTTTTGGTACTTTCGACACATGAATATGCAGACTTACAGTGGTATATACTATATATAACCATGATAAGTTTTGGTACTTTCGACACATGAATATGCAGACTTACAGTGGTATATACTATATATAACCATGATAAGTTTTGGTACTTTCGACACATGAATATGCAGACTTACAGTGGTATATACTATATATAACCATGATAAGTTTTGGTACTTTCGACACATGAATATGCAGACTTACAGTGGTATATACTATATATAACCATGATAAGTTTTGGTACTTTCGACACATGAATATGCAGACTTACAGTGGTATATACTATATATAACCATGATAAGTTTTGGTACTTTCGACACATGAATATGCAGACTTACAGTGGTATATACTATATATAACCATGATAAGTTTTGGTACTTTCGACACATGAATATGCAGACTTACAGTGGTATATACTATATATAACCATGATAAGTTTTGGTACTTTCGACACATGAATATGCAGACTTACAGTGGTATATACTATATATAACCATGATAAGTTTTGGTACTTTCGACACATGAATATGCAGACTTACAGTGGTATATACTATATATAACCATGATAAGTTTTGGTACTTGCGACACATGAATATGCAGACTAACAGTGGTATATACTATAAATAACCATGATAAGTTTTGGTACTTTCGACACATGAATATGCAGACTTACAGTGGTATATACTATATATAACCATGATAAGTTTTGGTACTTTCGACACATGAATATGCAGACTTACAGTGGTATATACTATATATAACCATGATAAGTTTTGGTACTTGCGACACATGAATATGCAGACTTACAGTGGTATATACTATAAATAACCATGATAAGTTTTGGTACTTTCGACACATGAATATGCAGACTTACAGTGGTGTATACTATATATAACCATGATAAGTTTTGGTACTTTCGACCAATTATTGTGCAAACAAACAGTTATTATAGTATATACTATATATTATACTGATAGGTTTTGGTACTTTCGACCCATGGATGTGTATAGACAAACAGAAGTATATACTGTAATTAGGATATTCGACATTTAACTGTATTCCATTGTATAATAACCTAAATTTATTTATTTATTTTTTTGTGTTTAACGCCACTTTCAGCACTATTAGTTATTTCGTGGCGGCAATATTTTATTGGCAGGAAAACTGACAATCTTTGTCAATTAACAATTGATTATAACGCACCTGCCACGTACGGGGTTCCAACTCCCAACCTCGGTGTTGACAGGCTTGGTATACAATAGGTGAACTACTTAGACCACTCAGCCACCGAAGCCCATAAAATAAACTAAAGCTTGGAGATCAAATGTTTTAGTGTAATATACACAAAACATATTCGTAGCATGAACCAAGTAGACCTAATTCAGCTATCAAAAATGTTTAACTTAAGGCCAACTTTGTCACAAAGAACTATTGCTCAAGTGAAATTACATACATGTATATAAATATCAAACAAACGTATCATTTAATTTGTATCAGTGGTCAGTTTTCACACATTTACAAAAGTCTATTTTGTTTTTTAACATAAAATAATCCATAATTTTACATTACAGCCAATAAAATGTAAAGCGGCTGTTTGTTGGGAGGCTGGAAAGCCCCTTTCCATAGAGACTGTCGAGGTGGCACCACCAAAGAACGGGGAAGTGAGAGTAAAGGTAGAATGGCTTTTGGAATATATTATATTACTTTTTAATGCAAACAAATATATTTCAAAAATGTTATCAAATGTATTAAATTAAACTACAATCCGGTGTTTTTTTTAATTTAGTAATTTTAGTTTTGAGTTTAGTTGCAAATATTCCATGCATGTTCGGGACAAGAACAATTAGAACAGTAAATGAAATAGAATGGTACATGTATTAAAAAGAGGATCGACCGTGATGAAATGTGAAAGATGAAAGAGGTCTAATTAAGACTACCACTGTAGTACCACTGGAGAAAATTGGCATCTCGGGGAACCAGACATATTGACTTGCAATACAATATTTCTCATTTACGAAACCTTCAAAGCATTATTGCAAAGATTCCAAATCACAGAACGTGCTACGTATAATACTCTCTTACTCATGAAAATTCAGATAGTCGGCATTTTGACGTGTAATTAGTCACTGACAAATACCTAAAAGAATTATTTTACAAGGGTTCGTTGACGTTCAGAGGACATGGTACTTTCTTCAAACGTGGATGCCAATCGGACGTGTGTGCGTGTTTATACATCCTGGATAGTCAATTTTGGGTTTTGTTCTTTATAGAATTTGTGCTCCGGCTTGTTTATTAGTTTCTAACTCACTATTGTCATCCGTCATGCTTCTTATTGTAACGTCCGGTAATTTGTAGAAATAAATTTGTCTTAAATTACCATGATATGAAACTGTTTTCTTATATAAATAAGGAGATGTGGTATGATTGCCATTAAGACGACTATCCACCAAAGTTTAAATGAAGTGGATGGAAGTAATTATAGGCAAACGTACTTACGGCCTTCAACCATGAGAAAAACCCATACCGTATAGTCGGCTATAAAATGCCCCGACATGAAAAATATGAAACAATTCAATTGAGAAAACTAACGGCCTAATTTATAACAAAACAATTTACGAAATATTTACAAATATGACAGACATGAACCAACGACAACCACTGAACTACAGGCATCTGACTTGGGACAGACACATACATAATGTGGCGGTGTTAAACATGTTTGTGAGTCCGCAACCCTCCCCTCAACCTGGGACAGTGGTGTAACAGCATACTATGAGAACAAACTATAAAAATCAGTTGAAAAAGGCCTTACTCATCAGATCGATACAAAGAAAAACATCAGACAAAAACATGTTTGTGTGCGCTCAACCCTCCCCTAACCTTGGACAGTGGTGAAACAGCACAACATAAGAACAAACTATAAAACTCAGTTGAAAGAGGCTTAACTCATCAGCTTACGCCATATGAAATTGCAACTATCCACAGAAAATCATGTGCAGGCATGAAAATGTCCACATGGTGGTTACCGTATCAATCATACCGCAGGTTTACCAAAAGTATTTGCTCGAATCAAAAAAGGGAGGTGATGGTAAAAGAAGAGCGAGTGGGGGAAAGCTAGGACAAAAACAAACAAAACACATACATTTAGAACGGTAGTGGTCTATAATTTTTGAGTGTTTTGAAATTTATCTACTAGAAATGCTCACATAATAAGTTTTGTGTTCTGTCTGATGTTGAAAACAATGTAAGGAATACTCCAAATATGGATGTGATTTTTCGTTTCGATTTGCAGATAAAGGGTTTGCCTGTGAGTTAAAGGTGTACATAGTTCTGTAGTTCTTGGCTGTATTTTGTAAACTGGGTTCATTCCTTGTCAACAAGTGAAGTGTTCTTTTAGTTAATCGAGTATGTATAGCATTTTTAAGTGCCAGTCTTTGTGAGAATCAGGCAATTTTGAAAAAAATTAAAACATGGCCGAAAAAAACCCACCGACCTAACCATCCTATTTTGAAGTTACCCTCATCCTGAGTTAGAAATGGTAGGTCTTTCATTTCTGCATGTCTGGTAGTTCGAGAAATCTGTAGATAACTTTTGATTAGAATGATAGCAAATTACGGAGTTAGCTCCCCTTAATTGTTAATTTCTAGTGCATTTCAACCAAATTATATCTTGAATTACTAGAACAGGAAAAGGAAACGAATGTTATATTCGTTCACCATTATTCATTTTGAACATAAATTAATGTCAACTTGAGTGGGTTTTTGTTTGTCATGTTTTCACCCCTGCTTGATTCTTAGGCAGATTGGCACTTAAAGAATGACCACGATAAAAACCCCGACAGATGATTTTATGGATAATTATTGCTCAACTGTAACTTGTGACAGGATTACTGAAATCTGTTATAACTGTCTTGCCTGTTATTTACATAGGACTACATTTAGATAATCTTATAATTCAGAGAAGCTGGTTAACTATTGGTCATTCATGCAAATATTGTTGAGAAGGGTTATTAAAAAGCGGGTGGACGGATGGTTGACAACCAAAGCTTGTGATAACGAAAAAATATATTCGTTCATTTATTACAGGTCACCACCATCATAAAATATGAAAAGTAGATGCATGTTTTTGATTGCCAATGAGACTGCTAGCAATCAAAGACCTTATGGACAAAGATATAAACACAATATTCGTGTTTATGCAGGTATCGAGATGAGATAACATTTAAGAGATAACTGTATATATTGTATTTGAAGCTTCGCGGACGTCCAGCGGTAGTTTTACTGTCGCAAATTAAATTTACCTGGCGACGCGTAGCGGAGACAGGTAAACGGGTATTTGCGACAGTAAAACTACCGATGGACGTCCGCAAAGCTTCAAATACAATACAGTTATCTCTATTATAATGCAAAATAAATACATAATTCAATTCCAATCATTATTTCAGTGTAAAGTTGTCATTAAAGAAAAATCCGCAAAACGATGTTATCTTCTATGGCCCCTAAACTAGATGACGTCATAGGTATGCTTCCGGCGTCAAAACGTAAACACCGGGCGTTTACTGGCTTCTTGGCCGCTTCAAAATGTAATATAATTTGATAAAAAGAATATTTCTAGGTTCAAAATGTGAGTTTTGTTGCTTATTATTGTAGAAAGTACATGTCAATACATTCCGAATTCAAAATATCGGCTTCCTTAGTTACAGACACCCGTGGTTACAGACAAGGAGATAGAGAATTTTGCGCTTACTGTCATCCAATCAGAACCATTGATACAAAATAATTGCATTAGAATTATGCTTATACATTTACAGGTGTTATACACAGGAGTCTGTCATAGTGATCTTAGTGTCCTAAATGGATCGTTAAAACTCGGTCAGATGCCTATCATCCTTGGACACGAGGGTTCTGGTGTTGTAGAGAGCGTGGGTTGTGGTGTTACTGACTTTAAACAAGGTAAGACATTTTTTTTCAAATCAACAAAAGTGGTACATTGTATGACCATGTGTAAGGGGGGTCGGACCTTTATCGGGACTCCGGGATTGTCCATTTTTAAGTTCGGGATTTCGGGAACGAGCTATATTATCATCGGGATTTCGGGATTTAGTTTAATCGAGACACGGGATTTACGTGTATTTACGTCCGGGGATTCGGGATTTTCATTTATCGGGACTCTTGTTTGAAAAAAAATAGCATTAGCTTACCCCTTTTAGAGCACCTGGGTTTTTGTAGGAGTTCGTGCATGTTTTTTAGTGTTCTGTGTTTTGTTTGTGATTGTTCCTTTTTTACCTGCATTTATTTGTACAACGGTTTATGTTTTATTTAATACTACAGTACTTGGATATATTTGCACATTGTTTGTTCTATGGTTTTACAAATGTAAGTCTTTGGATTTCTCCGAAGATAATTTTGTTCATCTTGGTCAAAGTTATAAATGTATGAGTATTAAAAATTAGCAAACCAAAGGACACGATTACACACAGAAACAAAACAGGATTTAAACAAGGTGCGTCAGCACAAGATAAGTACATATATTCAAAGAAAAAGTAACCCTTCCAAAGCGTCTAATTTTGACCCCCCAAAAAAATTGTTTGAGTTTCGTGTTACACAATCTTAAGTTTCGAAGCACTCTACAAAGTTATTTACAGAATAATGTCAGTCACTGCGGCAGTGATCACCCATACCACAGAGCTAAATAGGGCCCATATTGAATTTAAAAAAAAAATTGTCGGACAAAATAAAATTGCATGACACAAATAAAGAATTACCAGGAAAAAACAACATTGAATTCACTGTATACGCACAACTACATGACACTGTATCCTGGCTTGGGACTAGCACAAAAAAAAAATGCAGAGTATAGAAGAGTGATAAAGTATACAATGTACTATCATACTCTCAGAGATCATACTCCAAGTAACTGACGAAACTGTCTTGTATTCTTTTATTGAGCTCAAACTAGTTAACTTATTTATGTGTCTGTTTTAAGTTTTGGAATGTCGCAGTCTCCTTGTATATATAATCTGATTTAAACTAAGCTCACTAGATTATATTAACAAGATACAGGGAATCTGCACAACAGACTGACCGATTGCTTTGAACAGTATACAATCATTAATTAATGTATTTGCCCAAAAAGCATATGTTATTTTATCGGGATTTCGGGATATTGTGAAATAAGGCCCGGGAAATCGGGATTAGGCAAAAATAAACTCGGGATTTCGGGATTGGACCATGAAAATGTTATAGGGGTTTTTTGATAATCATTGATCGACTTATTTCTCAAATTGTTAATTAACGGTTTCTCTCAAGGTATAAAAGCTACATATAAAAAGAAGATGTGGTATGATTACCAATGAGACAAGAGACCAAAATGACACAGAAATTAGAACTATAGGTCACCGTACCCCCATCATCAAGGTTCAAAACCCATACCGCACAGTCAGCTATAAAATGCCCCGAAATGACAAATGATTTATGTACAAAATCAAATTGTACATATAAATCTTCTTTTTTTTTTTCGTTATTCAGATGCAGCACAGCGAGTTCTAAATGCATAAATTGAAAAATATCGCCCAATTACGTATACTTTGCATTAACGCACAGGTAAACGCGGAAGTAAACGCGCGTTTAGTTTCATGTCTACTGAAATTTTGACTCATTGCAAAATAAGATAGCATTGACTTTTTGCGTCCGTATACATGTTTTGCTTCGTCTTTACCCTGTAAGGTTGTAACACAGTGCATGACGTATAGTGGCATATATATGAAATAGAACGGTGAATGTGTCAAAGAGACAACAACCCGACCAAAGAGCGCAAAAACAGTCCAAAGCCACCAATGGGTCTTCCATGCAGCGAGAAAATCACGCTTCCGGTGGTGGGCTTTAGCTGGCCCCTAAACAATAATGTATACTAGTTCATCGAACTGGACGCCACATAAAACTCCGAAACATATGGAATACTTTGCAGTCTTGAAGAATTGGAAACTTTCCACGCAGTCCAACAACATATTGTTATTCCATACGGCTAAACAAGTGACAACTCTACGACAGACATTCATAATCCGATCGCCTAGAGTTATACAGTGAGAACTAACACCATACTAAAGATACACTACGTTTTATATTTAACCGAACAATGTTAAATCTATTTGATCTCCAACTTTGTGGTAGCAAAGCTTTTTCTTCTCTCTGGGGGATTTGAAACCTGTTTATGTGATAATATCGTATGCACTGTGTCTAAATGTATAAAACACCAATATAAATACTTATTTAACACATTGCCTACTTCTGATTTCTCTGATTGGATGAAGTTAGAGGAAACTGTAGTTTAACGATGTTCATATCTAACTTATCATTAATAACATTTAAATCAAGATAAACGAAATGAGTGCCTGAATCACATGAACTCCAAACGAACGGGACCGACTGCGTCGACATGGTAACCGTCTCCTGCGATGCATGTATAACCCGTCGTGTGGATTTACATTGAGTCAAAATGTCACAATAGGAAATAGGACGCAATCTGTAAATGTCCCTATCGGACTTTTATTGTAGCTAAAAGGTTAAGACTATGAAACATGTATCTTGTGAGTCGTACGTCAAGCAATTAGCGATGATGACCGTACAACCTTTATAGTGTCAATGTCAGTCGTTCTGGAGCATTATTTTTGAGACAGGAGTTCTTACAAAAACAATCAAGATACCAGGCTCATATATAATTTGGTACGCTAGATACATTCTATCTCTACACAAGACTCATCAGTGGTGCTTAAATCAAAATAGTCTTGAAGCCAAATCAAATACGAAGTTGAAGAGTATTGCAGGCCAAAAAATTCGAAAAGTTGTGCTAAATACGACTAAGGTCATATTTAACTATGGGTAGAAAAAACCATAGTGTTTCGAATAATCAAACATTTTATGACGAAACTAGTCCAAAATTGACCAATTAATAAATAATTAACAAAATCGACTGATGTTCATAAGAAAATGAACTCTTTTGAAATCAAGTCACTTAGCCAATCTCAAAGGGACGTTATGCGGAATTAGAAGAGATCGAACATACATTTGCAATAATCGAGTTAACTTTACTAAACTTGCGTCAAAATTTAAAATTTTTAAAACATTAGTGTAATAAGCTTCGGATAAATTTTGCGAGAAAAAGAAGAGTTTATACATGAATCAAGTCTGACTTTTTAAATTTACCGTTATTGCAAGTGTTGTGTTTTCTGTTGTTCTCAACTCAACTCAACAGTTATCCGACTGATGTATGATAAATACAGAATATTATATGCTATAAATAAATGTGGATTGTTCGCTTCTGAAGCGTCTATTCATTTTTAGGAGATCACGTGGTTATGTTATGGCTTCCACAGTGTAATAAATGTAAGAGTTGTAAGAGCGGCAAGACAAACCTATGCGATGAGTATTTAGGGTAAGAGCGATGTTTTAGATTTTTATGTCACGTCTCTGGTTGGATTTACTATTTTGCATCCATTAACGGTTATCTGTTTGTCCATTCTGTTTCAATTATAAACAACAAATAAATGTGAGCCATAATATATGGGTATAAACTTACTGAACAAACCGAAATGTGAATTAGGCAAAATATAAATGGTAACAAATAAACTTCGGAATGATTTTGTTAATTTCAAATACAAAGCCTTCGCCTGTTATACAAAAACCGCTTTCATAGGCAGACTTTCAAATTATTCCAGGGTAAAATTATTAAGTTTGCTTTTCCAAAATGGTTACAATTATATTATGGATTATGCCAAATATATTTCTGACGAAGAGCAAATATGAAATTCTAAATGGGTAGTTTCAATAACACATACAGATCGTTTATAGTACAGAAGATGCAAAATTTTGACTGCAAATGAAGCAATGTGTGTCTCTATCATGACTTAGAACAAACTTTGACACATAATGTTATCTATGATTCAATTTGAAATACGGGACGATTTCATTATTCTTCCGAATTAAAAAAAAATCGTTTTCACAAAAACTCATTTCTGAGAAAAGAGAGGCAAAAGATACCAAAGGGATAATCAATCTCATAAGTCGAAAACGAAACTGTGAGAAACTAAAATGAATAACGATCCATTTCGAATTTGGTTTGTAATCTGCATGGCATAGATTTGTTTTATACTTCAATTTACATATAATAAACTCAAGTTTTCATGACAGAATGGTGCGACTTAATCATATGGAAGACTTATAATATGAAATCAGGCAGATGAAATTATCTTTAAACAGCTACTTCAATGTCTGAATTTACTATAATTTATCTTTTATCCTACGGGATACCGCTGTGACCATTATTTTATACCTTATCGATTTCATTTATTTGTAGTGGTACTCACGTATTGGGAACAATGTTGGATGGAACAACTCGTTTTACTTGTATGGGGAAGCAGATATACCATTTTCTAGACTGTAGTACATTCAGTCAGTACATAGTAGTACCTGAGATGTCGGTTTGTAAGGTAATATATGAACATGTCTACAAATAACAGAAATTGACATAGGAAATTTGATGTTTATACTTTTTATAAATCTTGATTAAAAATTTCAATAAAGGCGTATAACATTTTGATCACCCTGTTTTTACCTTTCAAGCTTTACAAAAAAACTAACCACACAAGAAATTATCATTGTCTAAAATATGACCTTGTTTTTTTAACCTGGGCGTGATTGGTTACTATTCGCAGAATCTGATATCGATGCCAAATCAATCTCATTTTTAACGGGAGCTCAAATATATTGTTTTCCATTGATGATATCTATGAACAACTATATAGGTAAGTAACTTGACCACGTTCTACAAAAACAACAATTATGTCATGTGATGGATTACTCTGAGATAGATATAACTCTATTATGCATTACAAGCAGAATTTCGGATACCTCAGTCTGACATAATTTTCATACATATCAAAGTATTTCATGTGAAATATTATCAAAATAGGACTGATTAATCTTTGACCGTTTACTATATATATCATTTGGAGAATCTCATGTTTTAGCAGACTGTAAGATTTATTCACAACTTGTCTACACTGGTCTCGATCTAAAGCGTTTTACATTGTAAAAAATGATTGATATTTGTTGAAGAACATATGCTGATCTCCAGGTATACTGTATTTTCTCTATATGTCCATCTGTCCATCTGTATGTCCGTCCGTCCGTCCGTCCCATGTGTTACCAGGCTTCATTTGATATGCAATGGCTATTTAGCACAAGTCATGATCACAGAAAATATCAGTAAATTGGTTATAATGCAAGACATGCATGTTTTATATTGTTTTTAGATTGAACCATCAGCTCCATTGGACAAGGTATGTTTACTGGGATGTGGAATATCTACAGGATATGGATCTGCCCTCAATACAGCCAAGGTAAAAATTATTATATGACAACGATTTGTATGTTTTTCTAGGTCAGAATATTTTGTAGCGTTAAACACCTCAATAATGAAATATTACTATGACCGTTTGCAATTGTTGAAACCTAAAATCCGTTGTATCGACGATGGAAATCATCAGCAGTGATACAGCGTGATTTCTGCTAAAACCTCTTTCAGATCTTATGACGTATATCCAGATAGTACGTTATATAGAGGGGCACCATAAGTAATGTAAGACAATTCCCCACTCAAACACCGCCATAATCTGCTACGGATTATAAAAGTTAACATTCAATAGTTTTGTTTAAGTTTTTCCTTTTGATAAATTGTTAACATCATCAAATTTCGAAAAACGTATGCACAAGAAGAACATAGATTTTGTAAAATTTATAATAATTTTTTTTGATGGAAATAAAATTGAGAATAGTTGTTGATTTTTGTGGATAATTTTGGTGTCAGACAGAATAAAATTGAGAATGGAAATGGGGAATGTGTCAAAGAGACAACAACCCGACCATAGAGCAGACAACAGCCATCAGTGCTACTCTCACCACCTTCTTCTTGTGATATAACAGGAGAATCGATCGATCGATAAAGTTCATAAGGGGACGACCATTTGATATTTCTGGGGGGGGGGGGGGGGGGGGGGGGGGGGGGGGGGGGGGGGGGGGGGGGGGCAAGAGGATTTTAATAACTCAGCCTTGATAATCACAAAAATAAATGGTTTGTTCTGTGGTAGTTCGAAAATAAATAACCTGACTTACAATGTATTGAAAATGAATAACTCGGCAGGTCTTTAAGCCATTTTATAAATGCTATTCGAAAGTATGAGGTGGCACCATATTCTTCATAAAATTCATCTTTTTTCAAAAAAAAAATTCGGGAAACACTTCCCAAATCTTTTAATAATAAAGGTATAAATATTATTTAAATATACTTGAAATGTCTGAAAATGGGTTTCATTTAACTTGAGGTATATTGGCTCAGGAAACACTTACCTCACTTTTATTACAGGGCTGTAACTACATTAAGGTAAATGCCTTTATGTAGGAAATTTTAAAACCAAAAGCTTGTCTTCATATCAAATTGCTTTCACAGCGAGTGTTTGCAAGAAGCAAGTTCTGTTCTCCCTTGGACGTAGCACCTGTTTTTTTCGGGATCAATGTTTCTTTAAACCCTTTAAATTTGTCTTTTGTTCATTGATTGCCCTTCTGTATAATCTTAGTGTTGCATTCCTTTTGTGATTTAGTAATTTTGTTTCCAACTTGATCATGAGTTTTATTTTATTAAAGACTTTTTAGCTATTTTTACAACTTAACTACTTTAAATTGTATCCCAATTAAGAGCTACATCAAGTTGTAATTGAAATGTGTTATTAAAAATTACTTGACATAGTTATATCACTGATAATCAGCCCCCTCTCAACTTAATTTGAATAAAACCCCATATAATTTACAGGTATAAAAGATTTAAATTCTGCATGCCGAAACAACAACAAAAAAAAAAGAAAAAAAACCTGCAGCCACATACTTAACTATATGAATTACATTTTTACTTAATTCTTCATATTGGTCTTTTGATGTTGTCCATAAAAACTTAAGTCTTACGCTGAATCTATACATTTTGCTTTGAGACCAAAATATTGTCAAAAAATTATTAAAACAGAACTTGCGTTTTCAGAATAAGAAAGGGTCTGGGAACGCCCAGAAAGCACGATTTTGCATCATTTGTTCTATAGTTTCTTTGGGCCTTCAGCGGCTTCAAAACCCTTCAAAATTTTTTTGCCTCGCTCTGCTCGGCGTAAATATATTTGGCAATACTTCTATAAGAGGCTAGTCACAGCCCAACTCTAATACCATGTATGTATGCAGTACATGTATATGCAGTTTGGAATTCAGAAGATTCATTTCCGCAGAGGATGATGATTAATTCTGATTAAATGGTACATTAATGACTTGACTGTAAATGTATTATTTATAATAAAAAATGAATTTAAAAATTGTATGTTTTCAAATATTATTAATATAGTTATGAAAATAAATAATCAGTCCCTTGTTTTAATGAAAATGAAAAATCTTGCTTCAACAGTGCCCCCCCCCCCCCCCCCCCCCAGAATATCAAATGGTCTTCCCCTAATCATAGTGTCAAGTCACAATCATAAATATCCAGTCAGGGATCAAAATATTTTGAACGTCGAATTAAAACTAAACGTTGACTACCTAAACAAAAAAGAACTAACAAAAATCAGTCACTGACTCCTGCAAAATTTTTACTGCCATGTATGTGAACTAATGTTTCTTCAGCCAAAAATAACCGAGTAAAAAAAAAGAAAAGTAAAACGCAGATTTTTTTTTCAGCTTTTTCTTTTTCCAATGTTATAACAAAGAGAAATTAATTTTTTGTTTCATTTCTTCTCTCAAGTTAAGCTGTCAAATACACCTGATTTATTAAAAGGCGTTGACACTACACGTTTAGTTAGTCCCATCAATTTGTTTTGTTATTCAAGTTTTGTAAATCTATATTTTATTACAAATTTTTCTCGATTCTTAGTGTTTTGTATCTTTTTATCAGGTCAAACCGGGTTCAACATGCGCTGTATGGGGCTTAGGAGCAATAGGCATGGCAGTTATAATGGGTTGCAGAAAAGCAGGCGCTTCCCGTATAATCGGTATCGACTTAAACCCAGACAAGTTCAAACAAGGTAAAACTGTTGGCGCTCATAACCAAAATTTGTATTACATTTATGTTATATGATAGTTATAAATGCCAAACAACTGTAGTGCGTAAATACGGATATTGTGTTGCAAAATTATTCTTTGTGTCCTTTTGGTTAATACATCTACGCTTGCCAAGAATAGCGAAGATTGGTTTACAATCTTTTCTTTTTTTCAAACTAAGCTTTTGATTAGTTTGGCCTTTAGCATCACTGAAGAAACATTTATTGTCGAAATGCGCATCTGGTGCAGTTTTGGTTTTTAACATTAAATTGTAACCAAGATGCCATATTAAAATCCTTAAATGGCTTTAAATAGTGATACTGACAGGAGAAATGTAATGATGATTTGGTTGAAATTAATTTGCTAATTCGAAAAGTTTTTTTTTTTTTTTGCTAACAACATTCCAGTAAAATCTGTCCAGGATTTGTATTTCATAGCATATTGCTTGTGATACACGAATTGTGCTTAATTAAAAGGAAGCCATTGATTCCGATTAAGGGTTCTAAATGGTAAAATTGAAGCATATATATACTAATGGTTTATGCAAACCATCATGATTTGGTTGACTATAACCGAATATCAGCGTCTGAAATGTTCATGAATATATTCCACCTAATTGTAAAACACAATGTCATCCTCTTTTCTATGTTCATGTTATCACCGAATGAAACGTGTTTTTTGTGTCACTGTTTGTCATGGATAAGCGAAACAATTTGTGTCACTAATGGAGCAGAAATTGCTTACCATTCTGTGGTCCCTAAGTTCATCCGTTGATTTTTGGTGAAGCTTACTCATGTTCCTCTACTTTCCTGTGCATGCAATATGTTAAATATCTTTTTTTCTGAATTGCGAGTTTTGATTAACCCATTTGTACTTTCTTCCTTTAAACGGAAATGAGAATATCACACCTATCATATGTTTCAGGTAAAGCTTTTGGTATGACAGAGGGCGTTAACCCAAAGGATCATGACAAACCACTTCATGAAGTGCTAGCTGAAATGACAGGTGGTGGCCTAGATTATACATTTGAATGTATTGGTAACGTGAAATGTATGGTAAGTCCTATCTAAATGTCTGGTATTATTTTAAAAAGATCAAACACTCAAAAATATAAATGGTATTATATCATAGAGATTCACCAATAACTGACAAATTTCCATTTCAGCAAACCGCCTTTGAATCAACACATAAGGGCTGGGGTAAAACCATTATAGTTGGCATTGCACCGAATACGGATGAATTTTGCACCAAACCATTGAATTTTACAATGGGTAAACGAATTTTTGGATCATTTTATGGAGGTAAGGCATGTTGTTCACAATGCACGAGTTAAATAACAGTTATGTCTGTATGAATGTAAGGCTAAATTTGTTAGATTACAAAGATATAAAGGTTCTCAAAGCCACATCTTTGCTAGCCAAGGGTTACGATCCAGTCCCCTCCTCTCCACGTGGAGAGGAGGGGACTGGATCGTAACTCTTGGCTAGCGAAGATGTCAAAGCCATGATGGTGATCGAATTAATCCCAAAAGTTGTTGTAGCATGCCTTTTTATGCCCCCGCTGTAGCGAAGGGGGCATTAAGTTTTACCCTTGTCCGTCTGTACGTCTGTCCGTCTGTACGTACGTCCCAAGATAGGTTTCCGTTCTCTAACTTTAGTTTGCCTCAACCAAATGTTATGAAACTTATACACAATGCTTATTACCACAAAACACAGATCAAGTTTGAATTTTGGTGGCGTCCCTTTTACCGTTCTAGAGTTATGCCCCTTTACAAATGGAAAAATTGCTGAAATATTCGTTTCTGTTCTCTAACTTTAGTTTGCCTCAATAAAATGTTTTGAAACTTATGCACAATACTAATTACCACAAAACACAGATCAAGTTTGAATTTTGGTGGCGTCACTTTTACTGTTCTAGAGTTATGCCCTTTACAAATGGAAAAATTGCTGAATTTTTCGTTTCCGTTCTCTAACTTAAGTTTGCCTCAACTTAATGTTATGAAACTGAAAAAATAATGCTTATTATCACAAAACTCAGATCAAGTACAAATTTGGGTAGCGTCACTTTTACAGTTCTTAAGTTATGTACCTTTATAACGTTATATGCAAGCGGGGGCATCATCTGGACACATTCCCCATTTATTTTGTTCATGATCAGGAACGCTATTTTGATTCGGAAAGTTGAGTTGAACTTAAGATGTGAGATTTGTTTTTTTTTTGTTTCATTTCTCTTCTCCGTTTAAGCATTCAAATACACCTGATTCATAGTATGATTCGACGAACGTTATGTAATTTGATATTCTTGAGACCATATATAATTGATACAAACTTTATTCATATGAAAAGCAAGTGCAATTCTCCAATTTGATTTTTTATTTCGGCAGCGAAAGTAGAAACCATGTAAAACGCTTTGGGACTGTGTGAAATAGCTTGGATTACATAGCAAAACACAGGGAAGAAGACATACTGTCTTTCTATGTTGTGATGTTACACTATTGTATCAGAAAAAGGGTGAAGGTTTGTTTATCATTAAAACGTTTAAACCCGCTGCATTTGTTTGCACCTGTCCTAAGTCAGGAATCTGATGTTCAGTAGTTGTCGTTTGTTGATGTGGTTCATAAGTGTTTCTCGTTTCTCTTTTTTTATATAGATTAGACCGTTGGTTTTCCCGTTTGAATGGTTTTACACTAGTAATTTTGGGGGCCCTTTATAGCTTACTGTTCGGTGTGAGCCAAGGCTCCGTGTTGAAGACCGTACTGTGACCTATAATGGTTTACTTTTATAAATTTTGACTTGGATGGAGAGTTGTCTCATTGGCACTCATACCACATCTTTTTATATCTATTAACCAGATTTAATAGTAAACTTCATTTAAAAAACATATGTTTCTGGATAAGGCATATTTGATTTTAACGAAAGAAATCTCTGTATTACTGAAAAATTATAACACCAGGGTTTTCGATATCACAAACTAGTCAACACATTTACTAAATTTTATCATCGGTACAAGGACAGCATTCGTAAATATAAATCAACATGCAGACATCTTATACGTTCAGGTATTTCACATCCAATCTTTTGTGGTAATATTCTTTACATAGCACAAAAATGTTGGCATTCACCTCAAAAGCTAACCAAACCTTTAAACAGATTTATTAAGAAGGGATATAGTTTCGATACTGTTTTCAGGTCATTAAAGATGGCATATTTTGGTACATGTACTAATATTGATTCACTCATAGGGTGTTTGCATCGGAAATACACACATTTATTCTAAAACCAGTTATTGGCATGATACGGATTATGTTCTTCTCATATATTTTATGATGGTATGACACTAAACCCCTAACGGTAAGGATTGTGCTTGATTTTCATATGATGGAGACATAATCTTTCAATCAGTTTAACTGAGGTCTGGAGGTTGCATGTCAGTATCTGCTAGCAGACCTTTGTTAATTTATGTATCATTGTCAATTTGTTTAGTTTCTTTTGTTACCTATTCTGACATCGGACTTGGACTTCTTTTAAACTGAGTTTTACTGTGCGTATTGCTGTGTATATAGATATAAGAAGATGTGGTATGAGTGCCAATGAGACAACTCTCCATCCAAGTCACAATTTGTAAAAGTAAACCATTATAGGTCAAAGTACGGCATCAAAACACTGAGCATTGGCTCACACCGAACAGCAAGCTATTTAGGGCCCCAAAAATGACTAGTGTAAAACCATTCAAACAGGAAAACCAACGGTTTTATCTATATAAAAAACAAGAAACGAGAAACACTTATGTACCACATCAACAAACGACAACCACTGAACATCAGGTTCCCGACTTGGGACAGGTGCAAACAAATGCAGCGGGTTTAAAAGTTTTAATAGGCGATAACCTACACCCTTACCTGAAACAATAGTGTAACATCACAACATAGAAAGACACACTATAAAATATCAATTGAAAGGGCCTAACTCAATCAAAAGACATATTGACAAAAACAAGTGATAAAATTGAGAATGGAAATGGGGAATGTGTCAAAGAGACAACAACCCGACCATAGAACAGACAACAGCAGAAGGTCACCAACAGGTCTTCAATGCAGCGAGAAATTCCCGCACCCGGAGGCGTCCTTCAGCTGGCCCGAACATACACTGAACGAATAAATTTGATCTATGACACAATGCAAATACAAAATTAATAAAACAAGGGGGTTAGATGTAAAACAATATCAGAAAGACAACCATAACCTTGGACAAAATGCCGCCAAATAAAATAACGTACACAGGTTAATAAAAATACTTTTGTTGTAAGGTATACATGGAGTAAGGAAATATTGTTTACAAAATAAATGGTTTTGTTGTTCATAGTACGAGAACAGAAGTGAAAATTTATTGTCATACCAAACACTTATCAAAGGTGGAAAACATTAAAAATAGTGAGACGAGATATAACACTAAACAAGTAAACATTAAATAACAAAAATGCATTATAAATTGTATCAACAGGTCAAATTAACTCGAAAGTACGATTTGAGAGTACTCGCAGTTACTGAAAGCTAATCTAAAGCCAAAACAATTGATAATAAAAAATCATGCATCAGAGACTAAATCAACTAAAACACATCCCAGGGATTTAGTGTGTTAACGTCATGGACAGTCAAAGAAAATATGACTTGTGCAATGCCAAAATTAAAGTATCGATAGGCAGTAGGATAGCTAGGAGTTAACCTTCTAATAAATCTGTATAATGTTATATATAAATACAATATAATCTCTATATCGAAAATGAACGTGGATGTGTATTTAAAACAAAACCGTTTGAAAAGAATACAAAGTCAAATAACAAAAATACCGAACTCCGAGGAAAATTTTAAACGGAAAGTCCATAAGCAAATGTCAAAATCAAAAGCTCAAACACATCAAAGGAATGGATAACAACTGTCATATTCCTGACTTGGAACAGGCATTTTCTTGTGTAGAAAATGGTGGATTACACTTGGTTTTATAGCTAGCTGAACCTCTCACTTGTATGACAATCGCATAACATTCCATTATATTGACAACGATGTGTGAACAAAACAAACAGACATAATAGGTAAAAATGTCAAAAATAGGGGTACAGCAGTCAACATTGTGTTAAAATCTTAATCACTACAAAAACAATCAAATATGTCAACAAAGGCAAACAAATTTAGTTATGTTTTAATTTGCTGATGACAAAATCGATATTTGTGCCAATGAAAACTATATTCAAAGGTCTAATCACAACATTGGTAAGATAACCTTTACTAATAAGTTTGTTTAAAGGTTCGGTGAGTTTACACGGATCACATAGTGATTTCCGCGCTTTTAGTACAATATTACCGTAAAATATAGGATGTGAAATACCCTTTTTTTTAAGTTTTCTACGGGTACCGCCAAATTTACTAATCAAATCTTTGTATCTATGAAAGAATTTTGTATCTTTGTGTTTGTTTTTTCTACATTGGCTAGAGGTATAGGGGGAAGGGGGTTGAGATCTCACAAAATATGTTTAACCCCACCTGTCCCAAGTCAGGAACCTCTAGCCTTTGTTAGTGTTGTATGATTTTTAATTTTTGTTCAATTATATGTTTTTGAGTTTATTATGACGGATTTTCTCGCTGTGTTGAAGACCCATTCGTGGCCTTCGGCTGTTTTCTGCTCTTTGGTCGGGTTGTTGTCTCTTTGATACATTCCCAATTTCCATTCTCAAATTTTATATTGTGTAATGCAATATCCAAACACTCGATTGTTATCAAATAAAAAAAAAAAACTCTCTAGGCAATGTTAATTTGCATTGTATCAAAACTGTGTTATTATATAGTCAAACTTTTGAAAACCTACAATTGCGTGAAATCTTTGTTGTCGACAACCAGTGACATACAAGATCACGTTTAAATACCAGCCGTCACATTTACGCTGTTATTAATTTTATTCTACTATGATGTTATAAGCAATTGTATAGCGTTTGCATATGCTTCAATGGATTTATTGTATAATGACGTCATCCTCCTTAGACAATATACTTTTCTTTGGGTACAAAAAACATGTATTGACCTCATCAAATAGGTAAAACTATATATTAGTTGCATTTCCTTGTAGATTATAAGGGTAAAGACGATGTTCCACGACTTTTAAAAGATTATAAGAATGGAGAGGTGTTATTAGACGAGTTTGTCACACATACAATGGCGCTAGATAAAGTAAACGAGGCATTTGATCTCATGCGGGAATCTAAAAGGTGAGATACAATTCCGAAGATGCATATATATAGTACGATTAAAACATTCACATTCAATATTAAGGTATACGACCTTCAATGAATTATGAAAAAATTTTAATGGCTCTTTTGGTCATATGACTCCTATGTAATCATTTACTCATACATCAGTGGCCTTCACGTTTAGGATTTGAGTGTTCCTGAGGTAAGTAAACTCATTAGTGCAAATGTATTAAGTGTGTTTATTTTTATTTATGCTATGGAAGTGGTATTTTGTCGTTTCAGTTTAAGTCGGTTTTTACTATTGCCTTAATTTTCATTTACACCAAAAACTTAAAGTTAACCAGTCATTGACACATATATATGAAGACAGTTTAAATGAATTCAATGTGAGGTAAGAATAAATTGGTGTACGTTATAATTATCCGTGTAATCAAAATATTTATCTAGTAAATGTTCGTTCCCATCATTTTACCTTTTATGTTAAAGGATTGAATTTTCTTTTTCAGCTTAAGATCAGTGATAAACATGTGGGAGTGAATGGATAATTGAGGAGGACAATGAAAATATATTTAGTGTTGACTTACTAATAAACAGTAGGCGGTACATTTATACTCGCACCATATATATATATAATATAACTTTGTATACAATGTAAAGGAAGACTATAAAACAGTTATGCCGGGCAAACACCTTTCGTTTACATACTTTTACACGACTTTCTACTTTATTAAGTATATTGATTTATATTTAATTGTTTCATATTCATTTGCTTAAAAACATAACACTTTTGGGAGATACACAAGACACTCCGTTTTGTCTATCTACTGTTCCAAGGTTTGATTCCAAAACTATATCTAACAACTTTTTCAAGCTTATAAGTATAAACTAAGTCACAGAGAGGCAGAGACATTTCATATACAAAGAAAAGGAACACTTACTAGGTAATTGTAGTATGTGTCTTAATTGTTTCCACAAATGTGACCTAGCAAATTAGACTTAATATCACGTCTTTTACGTTTTTCGCCATGTCGCTGTCAGTTTATTTTCGACTTATGAGTTTAAATATTCCTTTGACATATTTCGCCTCCTCTCTTTTAGGAAATGAAAACTTCATCAAGTACAATATGTTTCATGAAACTGAATGATATTTATTTCCACAATAAAATCACAGGCACTTGTCTCTGGACTAAAATTACCTATATACCTTCATAAAACACGTGTTATATTTAGGTATGCAAGTTTTTTATTCAGTCACCATAAAGTTCGTGCAATTCTTAATTCTTAAAGGGGCATTGGCTGTCAAATTCATGTTCACCGATTTTAATCAAATACTCATATTTGATTTATAACATACTAAAACCTATATGTAAATTATAAAAAGTCTAAAATAAACAATTTACAGTGCTCAATTATATGTATCACCATTTCGTGTGTATCTTAGTCTAGATGCCATCTAATTAATCATCGAGTCGACCTCCGAAGACTGTCGAGGGTCATATAACCCGATATAAACATAAATATAGATATAAATAGATACAGTGGAGATCACTTCTAACCTCTCATTAGAACTGTCAGAATAATCTGTCATAGAACTGTTCTAAACTGTCATAGAACAGTTCTACCTAGAACTGTTCTAAGTAGAACTGTCAGAATCAGTTCTAGGTAGAACTGTCATGATCAGTTCTAGGGTAGAACTGTCTAAAACTCTTCTAGGTAGAACTGTCCAAATCAGTTCTAGTCGTAGAACTGTCAGCAGAACTGACCAAATCAGTTCTAACCGTAGAACTGTCAGCAGAACTGACTAAATCAGTTCTAACCGTAGAACTGTCAGCAGAACTGTCTAAAACTGTTCTAGCCGTAGAACTGACCAAACCTGTCAGGATTGTAGAACAGTTCTAAATTACGTCACTGCAATTTTTTAATATATATTATATTCTTTTGACTTATTTATATTTAAGACAAAGAGTTCTTAAAACAGTTTTATGAATAGAACTGACTAAACCAATTCTAGCCGAAGAACTGACCAAATCAGTTCTAATCGTAGAACTGTTCTATTCGTAGAACTGTTCTAGTCGTAGAACTGACCAAAGTTTTGATCAGTTCTAGGTAGAACTGTCTAAAACTGTTCTAGAGTAGAACTGTCAGGATCAGTTCTAGGTAGAACTGTCAGGATCAGTTCTAGGTAGAACTGTCTAAATCAGTTCTAGGTAGAACTGACCAAATCAGTTCTAGGTTAGAACTGTTCTAGCTAGAACTGTCTTATAGGTGTCAGGATGACAGTTCTACATACTGTCCTAGAACAGTTCTCCTGACAGATTCTGACAGATTTGATGAGAGGTTAGAAGTGATCTCCACTGTAGCGAATTCGTGCAATTGGATTTTTCTAGGTCTGTTTGATCTCATATTGTAGGTTAAAAATATATGTGAATCCTCGTTTTTAACCTTATAAGAATTAGTTTTTGTGGATCGAATCAGTCAATCAAATGGTTTACCCTTGTTTCGCTTTCATTGTTGACATTCTTTTTCTCTTAATAACTGAACACGCATAACTCATGCGTAAATCATTTCTAGCTAAGGGGTTAAATTAAAGGTCACATGAAAACGGATTCAATGAGGTTGAACTATTCATTTGCATTAATTGTGAATAATTCATCACCGATGTTTCCTTGCTTATTTTGACAAAATTGAACAAAACTGGCTTCTAACAGCGAATTATTATTTCACTATTTCAATTTCATTAATGATTGAACCAAAAAAATCATATTTCATTTTTTTTTTATATATCTCGTAGCTAGTGCCCCTTTAACCTTTCTTTCTGAATTTATATAAATTTATATATGTCCATTGTCATATGTCTGATTTCCTTTTACGGCATATATATAACATGACTATATTGTACATCATTGTGTATTTGACTTTGATAGAATTAAGAATAATAATGTACATGTGTATTGAATAAGATATGACACGATATCAATAAACAATGCAATATAATGTTTTGGAAGTTGAATAGGTTTAAGATTACTTAGAATATATAATTCAGGTTTTCGCAAACAAAAGCTATTGTACATGCAAGGTTTGAAGTTGTCTCATACATATTGTACTATGCTTTTTTGAATATTATAGTATGATATATGTATAATATAATGGAATTCTATGCGACTGTCATACTAGTGAGAGGTTTAGCTAGTTATGAAACCAGGTTTATTCCACCATTTTCTACCTAAGGAAATGCATGTACCAGGTAAGGAATATGGCAGTTGTTTTCAATTCGGTTGGTGTGTTTGAGCTTTTGATTTTGCCATTTGAAAAGTTGAAAAGGGAAATTTCCGTATTGAATTTTCCTTGTTAATTTCAGACCTATCAAACAAGAATACATGTGCAGCTCGTTATTTTTAATTCGTTAATACAAATTTATTTTTTATGTGAACAGTGCAAATTATTGTCCAACCTATTTTTTTTTCTAGGAACCAATAGTCTTATATGCCGTTAAAAAAATGTTCATTTGTTATACAACGTTTAAGCTCAGGTGTAACTTTGATAGGATATAGCTGATCAGTGTTAACGCAAAGTCACAGAAGCATTGGTTCAAATTTTGACGAGGGCAATACAAAGGATGCCTTAGCTCTGACGCTGTTGGATTGAATTTAAGACAATACATACCTAGCTGTAAATATATCTTGTCCACTAGCACTGTCGTCGGTTTTAATGTCAATTCCGTATCATGACTTATATCAGGGCTAGAAATTTCAAAGATATTTAAGTTACATATGAAATGAAAAAATCCCCAAAATAGGGGATCCCAACAAGAGGTTGAAGCAATTGTGATCTTGAGTCGCCAACACAGTAACAAAGCAGCAAAACAATTTGTATGTTAACACTACGGAAAATAGTATGCATGCACTTTTTTGTGGAACTTGCAAGCTGAAATTTGTTATAGATACAAGAACAAAATTAAATATCAGATCAAACTATCATCGGTCATTTTAACAGTTAGCACCACATTCTGTATTGTTCAATACAATTACTTAAGATTGAAACGCTATTATATCTTTTGTAACCTGCTGAAATTTGAAGATGCCCATTAGATGCGGTATAAAATAAAAATAATCGATGGGCTATACTCAATCACATTGTTACTCGCATACAAATATAAAAATGAGTTTACTTAACAATAAACAATATTGAAAAGGTGCCATGCTTGTACAAAATGTGAATATTTTTCGTAACTCTTTATTGTCGAAATAATCACTTCCAGTTCTGTAGCAACCGAGTAGATTTTTTAGGCATAGCAAATCACTTGATACAAACTCTGTCTTGGATTTCTTATATCATTTCCAATACTGGACAAATGACTTTATTATTTTTCGTTTCAATGTACTTATAAATCACAAATATTTAAAATAATTTTATTGTTAATTGATCTTTTGTTAAACAAATCTGAGATATCTTCTTGTAGCATTTTTTGTGCTCTTGATTATGAAATACCTATACAATTAGTTTCATGTAAGCTAACAACGCTTATGAATAAGATTGGTGTTTAAAATATTCAATTGTCTTTCCAATATGGTCATTTATAAAAATACGGGTAATGGTGGATTTACTCCTTTGAAAATGCGTCATGACTATTTCATTTGAATATTGTGCCTCGTTTGTCTTAATGTTGTTCAAAATAGGCGAGTGACTTTAACCATAAAATTAAATTTGTATTGCACCCACCTAACACACGGCTAAATTATATATCATTTGAAAGCTACACATCTGTACTATCTGTTTTGCCCGGTCGTAAAAAAAATCGTACGGTGCAATTTCCGTCAAATCAAGATCAATGGCCAAGGACGAATAAGTGCATAATTTCTAAGATTTCAGCTTGATTGCACAATATGACTTTTATATACTAAATTCAAATATGCAAACCATTTAAACTTTTAGCAGAGAGATTAACGGTCATTGATCAAATGCATTTTAAAATATTTAAAACCTGTTGTTTCCTGAAATTCAAGTAAAAGTTAACAAAATGTGTGAAAACCCAAGTTTTTCTTTCTGATGCAACTGTTAATCACTTAAAACTAGGTAAAACCTTGTAATAACTATCAAAGAAGTTTTTGACATCATAAATTTCCTAAAATTATGCTTACATTGTACTTCTAATAAAACAGCAAATCATAACAACTCATGCAGTTGCCCAAAATACCGCCATCTGCGAAAAAAACAGCTTTTAAGCATTTCTTCCTATTTAAACATCGTATGTGGTCAATATAAGATTTAATAAACAAATTCTTAAGAATCTGAAAAATTTAAAGTAAAAAAATATGTGTGCGAATTATACTATTGCTTGAAATAAAGGGGACGAAACTAAGAGATTGCAATCTGCATTGTAACTACTAGACTGAAATAAACATCTTTTGACTTTTCTAATTGTTTGATTTGCAGCTTCATTATAAATATTGATGTAGTGAAAAGACCTTTTATTCATTTAAGTGAACCATAAAAAATAAATTGAAAATTTAGACAAAAATAAATAAAGAATAAATTGATGAAAATTGAAATTTAAAAGAATTTAAAAACCAGTAAACACATTATAAAACTTGACTTCTTGATTGCTTAAATTGCGTTGTTCATTGTTTAAATGCATTAATTCATCAAATAAGAATAATTTTGAAGAAAAAAATCCATTAATACGCAACGATTCTAGTTACAACTAGACTTTCTGAATAGCTTGAATGACTAGTTCATTTTTCATACGAGGATGACTTCATGCAAGAGCTTCTGATGACGACTGAAAAGAAGTTACCATTATCTTGAAACTTCACTTCCCACTATATATATGATGTCATCTCGCTGAATAGTGCCAAATTTGTCACAATGTTGGACTCGTATTTTCCATTGAAATTTAAAAAAAGACTCACCAGATATAGTTTACTCTACCACTTATCTTGAAATCGACGATGAGGGTTGGTTGAGAACAAGTTTTACGACAAAAGAGATGAGCATAAATCAACCCATAAAAACACTCCTTACTAACCAATTATAAACTTTTCATTTCTATGTAGCAACATTATAGCAACACCTGCATATCTATACTATTAAAGGAGGAGACCGATTTCATTGAGCCTCAACTCCTCTGAAACAATAACAAGTCGGAATATTTATGACATGACGTATAAATGTAGGGTTTTGCATTTCCTAAATTTGTCTTTGCATGCTCAGTCGACGTACTGCCCGCAAAATTAAAAAAGTCTTTATTTAAACACTTGCCCAATTGTAACGCGATTTCGCGGCATCTTCTTGTGGAGTATGTATCTCCAAGTTGATACAATATTCCAGAGCTTGCATTTACTTTCACGATTGTCGTGGTAGTGCATAACTGCTCACAATGAAGATATTAAATAAAGGCAACTATAGTATACCGTTATTCAATAGTCATCAATCGATTTACTAGTAACTGAAACAAATCCGGGTCACTAACCAAAACCGTGGGAAACGCATCAACTATAAGAGGAACACAACGGAATAACAGAAACACTGAACTGCTACAAAAACAAACATTAACATACAAAGAAACAGATTATTCGATACCAACTGCTATATGCCTGACATGGTACAGGACATTTGAAGAAAAATGGTGGTTTGAACATGGTTTTAAACCAGAGTTCAAATGCAAAGTTGAAATCATCCCTTTGAAATTTTTATGGACGCCACTACGAGTTGGTTGACAATTATGAAATATCTGTTTTGCCTGATGACGACTGATAAGTTCCAATCGACGTAACCAAAATACCGTCATTTCTGCCTTGAATGTCACCTACCGAATAAGGCTTGGCACCGAGGTAGGTATTACACGAGCCACAAGACGGGCGTCACATGTGGAACATGATCTGTTCACCCTTTTGGAGCACCTGAGTTCACCCCAAATATTTCTGGGGGGTTTGTGTTACTCAATCTGTAGTTTTATATGTTGTGTTTTGTATACTGTTGCTTGTCTTGTTTGTTTTTTGCCCGGCTTTGTCAGTTCGTTTTCAATTATGAGTGTGATGTCCCTTTGATATATTTCGTCACTCTTCAAGTAGTAAAAGTTTTAAAAATTGTAGATCATTGTAGTTAAATGTATCATGATAACGATTTGGTTCTATATATATATCACCGTGAGCAAATTAAGTTATTTTCGCGGATATTTGTCTTATTGCGTTAATCTTCTTCACTTTACTTTGAGGCGATTTTTTTGCCGATTTTCATTACTGCAAGTTAATATCTTTAAAGTGAAATAATACCAAAGGGACAATCAACATCTCAAACCATGAATCAAATAAACTTAATTAAAACCATGAACAAAATAAAATTAAAGTCCAAGCGACGAACAACAGTCCACAAAACACAGCACAGCATGAAAACGATCACTGCCTAAAACAGCGAATGATTTTATGAGGTCAGGCAGGTATTCAACTTTTTCATTTTTTTATTTCACAACTGCTTATAGTGTTTTACATACACAATGACCTACATTTGTATTTTAAAAGCTTATGTTGAAAATACTCAATCCTATCTCTGTACCTTTGAAATTTGGTTTGTGAGAATAAAGATATATAGAAGCATCTTTTATTCAAATAATTAAAGAGATTAAACTTCTAAACACATGTAATGTGTCTAACACGATTTTAAATTATTAGTAAATAAGAAGCAGCAGCATTATATGTAGTTCGTTTAATCCCGCTTTAGACAACCAAGTGTTTCTAAACAAGGTTACTTATTTCAATGTTACCTACGATTTAGTCGCAAAGTCATGTTTGCATTTAAACATGATTAAAAAAAGTAAATAAGTTTGACTTCGTAAAAAAAATATTTTAACCTCAATTAGCTCGTATATATTCTTTTCGAACTTTAGATACCCCTTCTTTTATTATGGAAAATCATTCTCCTCCCTGATATTGACAATTAGCGATGTGCTATCTTAACATAGAATAACAAAATGATCGCTATTTGCAGATGGCAGATTT